AGAAAGACAAAATTAGAGTAAATTGAAATTAAAAAGGCAAAACTGGTAATTCAAGTTACCCAAGGGACCGTCTCACTAATAAAGATTAGAATTTAGGTTTTTAACAATGACAAAATAATTCATTCGACCTCGTCCTATATATTTTCAAAATTAGGGGTTATCACTCATTTACCCTTTATAATAACTTTGTTGTTCATTCTCAAGAAGTTGGAAAAGCATATCTCTAATCTTACCACCCTGTACTCCACAATTACCATTAAATCAGCTCCATGTAAATGCATGCATGCACAAATGGTTACATATATAGAACAGGGTTCAAAGAAAAGTCTGAATGTTACCTCTTTTCGAGGCCAATCTCTCCCTTGTATGAATTAATTCGGTGTGCATATGGGAGGGCAAAATCTGACCATTCTTCACCCTTTATCAATGATACAAAGCATTAGGATCCTGACATATATAAATATATGATCCCACCCATTATTATTTATCTTCCAATTATTTAGCTGCTGGTTCTTCGTATCATAACTCTGTATAAGTAAACAATCAAAATTTTACAAATACCGCACGCACCTGTGTTTGCTCGTCATTGTTCACAGTGGCTGGTCGGATCGGATTGGCGACGAGTGAGACTCAATCCCCAGTGCTGATTCCCACGATACTTGAGCAGCACGTCGCTCCCCCAACGGTTTCTCCTCTACGCGCCTCCGCATAACTCTCAACCACCACCCGTATGTATCATCAACACAACGAAAACTCCGATTGTCTAAATTAGTGTTATAATTGGGAGGATTGTAGAATAGGAAGGAGTATAGGGAAAACAAAGGCGAGGACAAGAGTGGGTCTTAGTAGAGATTTACGGGGCATTTTCCGGAGTACGGTTTTACTGCTGTAAGGCAGTGGTGATGTGGGTGGAGACGGCGGTAACTGGCAGCGATCTGAGTTTCGGCTGGAGATTCATAAACTAATAAGGTGCACGCCACATACCAGAGGCGCGTGAAACTATAAACTGTAAAGGAGGAGAGAGTAATCGATTTGCAGAATCGTTTGTTTACGAAGAAGTTTCACAAAGCAAATATTCGATTTGGAATAAGTTAATCCAAAGCTCCTTTTATTTTTTTTTCTTTTCGCGTTAGCGTTCTAGTGTATTTTGACTCGTGTAGCACCTGTCAGTTTTAAAAAAATAAAAAATTTATAAATAAATATTTTCTTTATACCATTTTTTAATATACTGTCTCTTTTGATTAATCTTAAAAATCATAATTTTTTAACATTCTGATGCGATCGCTTTGGTACCGACAGATTTTCTATGCAAGAATTGTAAGAAAAACGAGAGAAAACTTTATTTATTCAACGTCTTCTGTTTATCACGTTGGTTGAAATATATAGAAAAAAAGAAAGACAATCCTAAAGCTACGTAAACTAATACTCAAGGAATAATTCTAATCCTAATAATTAAAGAAGAGTAACTTAACTAAAATACTATAAAAATATAATAACTAGGAATTATAATAATAAGGAAGCTATTAATAAGGACACATAAGCCACGACTCTTCTCCTGACTAGTCCAAGTAGTGTCGGTTAGGTCGGATGGTTCGCATGCTACGACGTGGCTTATCATTCCCTCCCTTTTCAAATACAACCTTGTCCTCAAGGTTAAGGTGGGGAAACTTTTCGACAAGCACCTCCGAAGCTTCCCAAGTGGCGTCTTCTACTGGCAAGGAATTCCATTTAACCAACACCTCTCGCACGCGGCCACCCTTTCCAGCAACAGCCCTTTGTTGGTTAAAATACCTACACGCAAGTGCACGTATCGTACAAGTAATATAGTGGACTAAAAGTCCGGATATCGAACCCACAGGGAATATTTAATTATCTAACCCTAGACGCTAAATTCTACCAATTATTATCAAGCCCACCCTACACAGTCGAATTTTAGAGAGAATTAACTAAATTAAACTAAATTAAAAGCAAGCAAAAACAAGAAAGCAATTTTAAACGAAGATTTAATCAAGATAAGCAAGCCTAGGATTTTATTCTCCCCCCTATGTGATTATTACTCCCCCAATTCCTTCAATTATGCAAGCAATTAACCCGGATTATTAACCTGAGATGCTAAAATATTCATAACCCGCTTCCGCGTGTATTACGATTCTAATACTCTAGATTCAATTACTATATTCCTATGCAATTAATTCTAGAACACAGCGTTAAGCACAAATCTCAATAATAGCTACCTAAGAGATTAACTATATTCCTATGTTAATACCACAAAGGCTCTTCTACCACAGTTCTAATTATTAACCCGATCTTCCGATTCATGCGATTAACAATAACATAAAAGCACATAAAGTGGCCAGTTTCATGAACTTAATAAAATAAGTAGAAGAAATAATCCGGAATTAAAACTTGCATAAAATCATAGAAAATGGTTCATAAATCCCACATAGGGATCCAAATAAAATCCTAGAAATAAGTAATTTAGCTACTCATGATTAAAGGAAAAACGCAAATAAAATAAGTCATAAACGATAAATCTATGCTTAGAGTCTTCGAATTCTTCGTCTTCGTTATTGCTTTGTTGCTCTTGAAATTGCGTAAAAAGATCCCAATTGTGTGCTTGGGTTGGTCTTATATAGGGTGAAGAACTTGGGGAAGAAGGCAGTTTCCTTGTGCAATTAAAATTCCTTTACTGCGCAGCTTCGGAGTCTCGGACGGGGGTCCCACAAATTGAACTAAAACTCGGACGGGGTTCTGAGCTTTAAATCTTCAGAATTTTGATTTTTTCACTTTTGACCCATATTTTCTCCAATATTGCAGTTTTGACCCCACACTTTTCCAATTCTTCAATTTGTACCTAAAATACAATAAATCAACTTTTTAAGCACCAATTGTCGTTAAAACACACCAAAAGCTCAAATAAAAAGATACGATAAAGTGTAAAAATATACACTTAACACCCTTGACTCTAGAATTTGTGTGGGCTCAAGAACAGGTTCTCCGTCCACGCTGTAAGGTGATAAACTAGCTACTGCAGACTGTTGATCCCCAAGCTTACACCGAAGCAATGAAATGTGAAACACTGGGTGTATGCGAGACTCGCTAGGAAGGTCCAACTTATACGCCACAAGGCCAATTCTCTCGACAATGCGAAAGGGACCGTAAAAACGGCTAGCCAACTTATGGAAAACCCTCTTGAAAACAGACCGTTGCCGATATGGTTGAAACTTTAAATACACCCAGTCGCCTATCTCAAACTGCTCCTCACGTCGATGTTTATCAGCAGCTTGCTTCATTCGATCCTGAGCGACTGCCAAGTGAATTTTCAATTCCTTAATAATCTCATCTCGTGCCCTCAAGGTTCGATCAACCTCTGGTACATTAGCAGTTCCAGCCATGTATTGCACCAATGGTGGTGGAGGTCGCCTATAAACTGCTTCAAATGGTGTTATTCCAATGGATCGATGGAACGATGTATTGTACCAGAATTCAGCCCATGCTAGGTACTCTTCCCATTGTCTTGGTTTGAGGTAAACAAAGCACCTTAAATATTGCTCAAGACACCGATTTACTACTTCGGTTTGGCCGTCGGATTCGGAATGGTAAGCCGAACTAGTGCACAAGGCAGTCCCTGCAAGCGAAATAGCTCCCGCCAAAAATTACTAATAAAAACTTTGTCTCGATCAGACACAATTGACGTGGGAAGGCCATGTAATTTGACCACTCCTCTCACAAATGTAGCTGCCACATCTTTAGCCGTGTATGGGTGGGTTAATGTCATAAAGTGGGCATATTTTGATAATCGATCGACTACCACGAAGATCGTATCTTTCCCTTGCGATCTCGGCAATCCCTCAATAAAGTCCATACTTATATCGGCCCAAATGACAAGTGGTATTGGCAATGGTTCGAGCAGACCCGCCGGCCGACGATGATCAGCTTTATTCCTTTGGCACGTGTCACACTCTCGCACAAATTGCCGCACCGCTGATCGGAGTCCGTGCCACGAAAACAACTGTGAAATGCGTTTGAATGTGTGAAGCTCTCCTGAGTGGCCCGCAATTGGTGAAGAGTGAAATTCTGTAAGGATCTTTTGCCGTAGAGGAACCGCCTCGGGAACCATTAGACGTCCTTTCACTCATAGGCACCCATTTTTGACTGAAATCCCGTCTTCACTTGAAGTATTTTCCCATTTTTTTTCAGCTCGTTCAACTTTGGATCCTCTGCAGTTGCAGCCGCGATCTCGTCCCACACGACCCAAGTTGGTATGGTAATCGCGGATAACTCCGACTCGCTAACCATACCCTCGTCGATTTCTGGATTTGCATGTTCGCGGCGGGATACGGCATCAGCCGCGCTATTTTGTTTTCCCGGCTTATAAATGATCTCGTAATCAAAGCCCAATAACTTAGCTATCCACTTTTGTTGTTCAGGCGTAGTAATACGCTGCTCAAGAAGATAGCGAAGACTTCGGTGATCGGTGCATATTTTGAATTTACGCCCTAAGAGATACGGTCGCCAACATCGAACTGCTTCTAAAATCGCTAGCATCTCTTTTTCGTAAGTGGACCAAGATCTCTTTGCTGCGATGATCCCCTTGCTAATAAAAGCAATAGGTCTTCCCCCTTGACTCAACACTGCTCCTATGCCTTCACCGGAAGCGTCCGTCTCAATGGAAAATTCCTCCTCAAAGTTTGGTAGGGCTAGAACAGGGGTCTTCGTCATTGCTTCTTTTAATTTTTCAAATGCTAATTGTGCCTCTTCCCCCCACTTGAAGCCCCCTTTTTTTAGTAAGTTTGTCAGTGGTCGAGTAGAGCTATACTCCCATAGTTGTGTACAAATTTTCGATAATAACCGGTTAACCCTAAGAATCCACGTAATGCGCGCACAGTTTTTGGAGAAGGCCACGATACCATAGCTTTAATTTTTTCTTGATCAACTCTTACCCCTTCATGTGAAAGCCAATGGCCTAAGTATTCCACTTGCTTTTGGCCAAAACAACATTAACTGGGTTTTAGAAAAAAATGTGCATCCCTCAATATTTGCAAGGTGGTTCTCAACTGTTGTAGGTGATCTTCCCACGATTTACTATAAACTAATATATCATCAAAAAACACCAATATGAATTTCCGCAAGTGTGGCCGAAAGATCTCATTCATAGCAGCTTGGAAAGTCGATGGTGCATTACACAATCCGAACGACATTACTAGATACTCGTAGTGGTCATTATGAACTCGAAAGGCAGTTTTGTGAATGTCATCAGGATGTACCCGGATTTGATGATAGCCCGCACGTAGATCGAGCTTGCTGTAATACTGAGCCCCGTGTAGCTCATCAAGCATGTCGTCCACAGTTGGTATAGGAAATCGATCTTTAATAGTTACGTCATTCAATCCCCTATAGTCTGTGCAGAAACGCCACGAACCATCCTTCTTCTTTACGAGAAGAACCGGTGATGAAAAAGGACTTGTACTTGGCTGCATCAGTCCCGACTTAAGCAATGCGGCTACTTGTTTTTCGATCTCGTTTTTCTTGAAGTGTGTGTATCGATAGGGTCGCACATTGACAACGGTTGCTTCATCGTGTAAACGTATACGGTGGTCAAACTCTCGTTGTGGTGGTAAGGTTTCGGGCTCTGTCTGGATATCAAGAAATTCAGTCAATAAGTTTTTTATTTCCACATTGTCGGTACCAACTACTTCGCTTGTTTCTTCCCTATCGAACGATGCCGCTACTCCGAATAGCTCGCCTCCTGCTTTCCAGTCCCCGATCAGCGCATGGAGCTCGCTAATTTCGATGTCCTTCTCTTCCCGTCCCTGAATGTGATATTCACGGCCTTGGACTTTAAATTTCATTGATTTTTTTCGATAATCTGTTAGCACAGGACTCAGGTCCTCGAGCCATGGTAAACCCAGTACTACATCCAGGGGCGGATCCACCTATGGTCTAGGGTGTGCAGTTGCACACCCTTGGGTTTGAACAAATATTAGTATTATAGATAATTTGACAAAAAAGGCTGTTGGTTGAGGTGGTAAAGGTGTTCTGAATCCACTAATAGGTCATGGGTTCGATTCCCCAATCTCTCAAAAACTGACTTCTCTTTCAAATCTTAACATTTTCACATTTTTTGTCTTTAAATATTCCACAATTCACCCAAAATTTTTAAATTGTAAATTTTTGGTCCACTATTTTTAACATTTTCAAATTTTTAAAATATTCCCACAATTCACCCAAAATTTGTAAATTGTAAATTTTTGGTCCACTATTTTTATAAAGTGATATTTAAATTTTTTATTCTACAATTTCGAACCCCCTTGGCAAAAATCCTGGATCCGCCACTGACTACATCTAGTCCGTCGATCGGCAGAGGATATAAATTGGCACGAAAATCATATCCATTTACATGCATTGGGACGATTTCATACCTTGCCGAACACTCCAATTTTTTACCATTCGCCATCCGCACCAGAAAAGGCTTAATCGGTTTAACCTTCAATCGTAGTCGTTGAGCTAATTCCGAGTTGAGGATGTTGAGACTGGACCCGTTATCCGCCAACATTTCGACCGGCGAATTCTCAAGCTTTCCACTTACTCTCATGGCTTTCTTTCCTGACTCTCCTCCAATAGCATGCAATGAAATTTGTTGTTGTTCGTCAAAGTCAACTCCTTCCTCGTCGCCCTGATCTTCCGCTTCGATTATTAAAGCTTGTGCTTTTTTACACTGGTGCCCTCTTACAAACTTCTTATCACAATGATAACATAGGTTTTGTTCCCTACGACGTTGCAATTCTTCCCAGGTCAGACGCTTTGCTCCATCAGCAACCAATTGACGAGCGGTCGTTGCCGGGTTCGGGTTCACGAATTTGAGGTTTATGGAATTCACGGTCCTTGTTTGGCCTGCACTTCTTTTCCCGAATTGCAACTGCTCGTCCTTGCGTTTTGCTAACTCCATAGCGGTCTGTAGATCCTTAGGTTTGAACAGACGAACGTCCCTCGCAATATCTTCACGGAGACCTGCCATGAATGCTCCCATAAGTGCCTCTTCGGGCCAATCTGGTAGACAATTCATGAGCTTTTCGAACTCTCCTAAGAATTCTTTGAATCCTCCCTTCTGTCTTAAACGACACATGGACTCGTTGGGGTCCTCGTAATTGCCGTGGCCAAAACGCAATAGTATCCCTTTCTCGAATTGCCTCCAAGATATTTTACGACCTTGATTCGCCCTTTCGAACCACAACCACCATTGATTGGCATCGCCTTCTAGATGATACGAAGCCAGCACTACTTTACGATGGCCATGTAAGTCATTAGCCAAGAAAAATTGCTTCGCCCGATTGAGCCATACCCTCGGCTCTTCACCATCAAATTTTGTAAAATCCATTCTAACCTGGTGGTGTCGCCTTCCGTGTTTGCAGTTGTTCGAAGCTCGACTCCTAATCGAATTGTTCGACATGCGGCTATCTTGGCTATCGTTGCCCGACGAGTCGTCCGATGGTGGCGGCGACGACTCGTTTCTTCTTCCCCATGGGTTTTGTCGATCTTGCCCTCATTCAAGCATCATTTGCATCTGTTGCATAGAATTCTGAATCTCTTGCACGGAGCCTTCCAATCTATCAAATCTTTCCTTATTTGTTGCCATGACCGTAGCGGAGCGTTGATGTTATCGCAACCTCGCTCTTGATACCAATTGATGCGATCGCTTTGGTACCGACAGATTTTCTACGCAAGAATTGCAAGAAAAACGAGAGAAAACTTTATTTATTCAACGTCTTCTGTTTATCACGTTGGTTGAAATATATAGAAAAAAATAAAGACAATCCTAAAGCTACGTAAACTAATACTCAAGGAATAATTCTAATCCTAATAATTAAAGAAGAGTAACTTAACTAAAATACTATAAAAATATAATAACTAGGAATTATAATAATAAGGAAGCTATTAATAAGGACCCATAAGCCACGACTCTTCTCCTGACTAGTCCAAGTAGCGTCGGTTAGGTCGGATGGTTCGCATGCTACGATGTGGCTTATCACATTCAGTCAACAAAATTTGAAAAGCAGCACAAAACTCGAAAAAAAATATGTTCCAAAATAGGCAAAATTTGGATCGAAATCATCGGAATTCGGAAATTTCTATTGTAGTCACCGAAGATATAAAATATCCATCAAGGAATTTTAAAATAACTTAAAAAAGTAGACTCCATTGACAAGAAGGTTGCAAGAAATACATGTTTGTCTATATAGGGGATAGTTCATTAACAAAAGCCATGACTAAAGATACAAATCATTCCCTCACTATCCAACTCCCAAACACACTTTGAAAAACATGTATACTCTCTTCAATGAAATACGAAATCCCAATAAGCTCCTCAATGTCTCATTTTGGGCAGTAAAATTTTGTACCCATAGTGTCCACTTTCTGAGAATATTTAACGAATGATCCGTAGATGCAAGATAAGAATCTTTATCATCTAATCTAACAAAAAATAATGGATTGAAATAAGTGAATTTCGGCGCCATTCTGCAAGCGGTATATGAATTTAACATTAATAGGCACATTACATCAATTGTAGAACAACATATGCTGAATGTTTATGTAATTCATTCTAAGAAAAAATGTATAAAATGATGATACTTGCAAAAACTCAAGAAGAAAAAACAAATGCGGACAAAATACTGTGTCGAAAAGAAAAAAAAAATCGGAAAAAACAATACACTCGAGCAAAGAAGTACATATCCAGCAAGTACACCAGTGAAATAAAGTGGAGAAATTAATGTGCTAGAAAAAATGCACATATCCAAGAAAAAAAAACTAACGCAAACAAAAAAAAAAATACAACGAAGAAAAAAAAAAAAACCTAACAAATCTTTGACAAAAGAAAAAATCTGAAGAAGAGTTTGCAACCAAAATTTTCGATGATGGAGAAATAATGGCGGTAGAGAGAAACTGAGATGTGGTGGAGAAAAAATGGTTGTGGAGCGAAATAAAAACATAAATAAAAACCGCATGGGAAGGTGAGAGAAGACGTGAGGAAGAAAAGTTGTACTGCGTTGAGAAGAGAAATTGTAGGAGAGCAACTTACGTGTCAAAGATTTATACCAAAAAATCCTAGGGGAGAAAAGAAACCGACGTTACTTCTTTTATATATGGGATTATTTTAGAGACCCCCTAATTTTTACATTATATCTAATTAACTACCATGCAGATTGCACCTTATGGGAAACCTCCCTCATTTCGAAAATATTTTGACAGTGATGATGCTAATTACTTAGATCACTAAGGGTAGTGTGGTAAACGAATGGGGAGAGCAAAGTAGATCAGTAGCTTGCCAATTAGATGGTCATGAGGGCCCTGCGAAATGAAACACGTGAACTAAGCCAGGGGTTGATCCGGCGGAAACCCCTCCGACGCTCAAGTCAGATGTACGGATCGTGGAGATGGTAGAGAGAATATGCACTCTAGAATACTTGTGAATAATAGAACGTACCTTAACAAATGTCGTTGATTGGGTTCGGTTTACTTTGTTGGGCCCAATCTTTATTTTGAAGGTGTTTGGGCTTTCGTGTAGCGGGCCCCATTGGGCTTTCGTGTAGTGGGCCCAATTGTTAGATAAATTGGGGCCCCATTGGGTCGGTCCAATTAGGTATATCATTAAGCCCCCCAACTCTCGAGTCGAGATGGGAAACTTGTCGAAGGGATTCCGGATCGTGTCGAGAGTTAAATGTGCTGTGGTTTGACTGATTTTCATTGCCGTTGAATTAATTCGTAATTAAGTAATAAAGAATGGCTTATTGTATTTATTTGGCAGCAAGATATATATTTAAGGGTTTTAAATAATATACTAGGACCAAATAAATAGAATCCTTTTACGGTGGAGAGAATTAAATTCGAACTCTTGTGGGGAATAAATATGGGTAAGTATTTTTAACTTTTGGGTCTTCTTGTATGCTCTTGCTTTTTATTTTTTGTGGTAGAGTAGAAGATTTTATTTTTTGAGTGTTTCTTTGGAGAAAAATATTTATCATGTCGAACCCGGGTAAGTCAAAATCTTTGCGAATTAAAATTCGAGATCCGGTTAAAGGGGGCGAGAAAACTTTTGGTACTGTGGGTATGGAACACGAGAAGCTTGTAGTATCGGGTGCGGAAATCGGATCCTCGTCGGCTAGTGCACGGATCGAAGGGAGAGGAGAGGTAGTTGGTGTGGGAGATGGGCCGGTTGCAGCCATTGGGGAGGAGCGAGCCGCCGCTGTGCACGGCTTGTCTTTGGGCTCGTCGTTCGATGTGAGGCGCGGAGAGAGAGGTCAGCCGGCTTTTGCGCCGTCCAAGGGGAGAAACGGCTCAAACGGCGCGGTTGGGGTGCTGGGGAGAGGACGCGCGCGCGTGTCTGGCAGGCCGTCCGAGGCACGTGCGCGCGCCGGGTGATGTGTCTGGTGGACGCGTGCACGCGTCAGGCACGGTTCTTGGTGAACGCGCATGCGCGTCAGTGGCTGGGGCAATTGGCTGATGCGCGCGTCACGCACGGAAAACGAGGGACGCGCACGCGCGTCCGAGATGGGGAGCGTGGAAGGCGCGCATGCGTCAGATGCACCGCACATACAGAGCGAGAGTGAGGCGCGTCTGTACAGGGTGTTTTAGGGTGCGGGCCGGCGCGTGGATCGAGCCGGAGGTGCCGTTCAAAGACATTCTTGATAATCGGACAGTGGGACGTGGATTTCGCGAAACTGTAGGTGCTTGGAGTGATGATTTTGAGCGAAATGTTAATATTTGTTCCACTATTAACGAGGTCGGTTCTAGTAGGCGTCGTTCTCGATGTCAAGTCGTGGATTCTGGGAGTGATAGTGACGAGTCAAATCAATCGCACTCGTCGAGTGAGCCTGCGGGGCCGAGTAGTGAAATTGACCCGATGGTTGAAGTGGAAGAGAAAGATGATATTCCGCTAGGTGATGTTGAGATGGATACTAGGAGGCAAAAGAAGATTAAGCCAATCAATCTTGATTTAGTTGATGTTGATAGTGCATTCAATGAAAAGCACTTGCGGTCTATTCGTCGGTTAGTTGGAGGGCCAAGGAATATCGAGTTTCTTTTGCCTCAGAAGGGCGAGCGTTGATATTCACCACATGTTGGGTTTCATACGGTTTACTTGGCGTATGTGACTTGTACTTCTCACATCACTCCGCATCCGACGTTGTTGAAGATTTGTGATAAATTTAAGATAGGATATAGTCAGTTGTCTCCGACCGTGCTTCTTACATTTGAGGCGTTTCACCATAGAGTGTCACAAGTAGGTTTGCCTAGTAGTGTCAATTTATTCAAGGCGTTGTTTACGTTACATCGGCCGAATATGTTGCCCTTCTTTTGTGCTCATCCGAGGCTTCCCTACAAGTTTTTGAAGCGTGTGAAGTTTTCATGGGGGGTTTGGAAGTCCCGTTTCTTTTATGTGAGGGTTCCATCTTTTGATGTCCCCCTAATCTGGAATCCCACGTGTGAGAATTTCAAGATTACTGAGAATATGGCTAAGAGGATCACATAATTTAGGTTGTGTGATGTGGAATTTGATCATAAGCATTTGATCCCGGGCGGTCAACGCCGCATATCCTTTTGTTTTTATCGAAACATTTTTTTTTCTGTGTTGTTCTTCGGTTTTATTTATATTTTGTCTTTTTTTTTTTGTAGATGATTGTATTGACTTTTCGGCGGTTCGAGCCAAGGCGAATGGGATGTATTGGGTCACAGCCTCTGTGGCGGCGCGAGTTGAAGCTTCTGCTATCATACGTTGGAGCGCATCCTCGGTTATCTGAACTGTTCAGGGAGCAAGTAGTGGCGGATCGGCGAAGGGTGGATCCCAAGGGGGATTCACTTGGACATCGCGAGGGGGATCTGGAGCACGGGGAGGAGGTGGCAAGCCAGAGCCTCCGCGGATTAAGAGGTTGTTAGTTGTGTCATTCTCTCTCCGAGCGGATGACTCAGAAGGATCTTGCTGGCTACGTGATCGGGTTTGCATTCCCACAGACGACACCAAAATGATGATTCCAATTACTTAGATCACTTGGGGTAGTGTGGTATGTGACACCCCTCTCTCGATTACTCTTATTATATGTAATCTCAGCGGAAGACTTTTTAAAAATGATTATTGTGGATATAAATTTACGTAAAAAAAAAATTGTTTTAAATCAGAGGGAGAGAGGTCACCCAATACTAAACCCTAATAAATCCATTAACACAAATACACACTACATGTAAGACTAGAAAATAACTAGGTATGATGGACCTAATGCAAATTCAGACAAACTCGGTGCAGAAACTTTAAAAATTAATTCCTCTTAAACTACTCATGAAAATGACCCCAACATAATACCATACCATCTACCATGGGTCTAAATCACATAGTTAATACAATTTTGAAAATCACTAAATTTAAAATCGAGAACAGGGGAGGGAGTTTTGAAAATTCGT